ATTCATCATGAATGAATCACCACAAACACTTGATTTTCATTATTATTCCCAATGGTTTCACAACCAGTGAGAATGCAATGACTTTTCCACAATTGACCATATAGGTTTGGGTTTTTTGCATCTGTTAAGTATTAATTATTTTTATTTACAAACTGCATTTTGTGTTTTCTTGGGTCTGGGATATCTCAGGGTAGTTCTGAGGAAGCACGGCCTGTCACAGGAGGTGCTAGGGCAGTTCTACACAACAGCCATCAAATCAATCCTGTGTTCTTCCATCACGGTTTGGTTTGGGGCCACCACAAAAAAAAAAGACAAAATCCGACTGCAACGGAGAGTTAGGACTGTGGGAAAAAGCAGTGGCACCGCCCTACCCACTCTTGAGGACTTACACACCGCAAGAACCAAGACAAGGGCACGGAAAATCCGACTGGACCACACCTTTCCCAACTACTCCCCTCAGGCAAGCGCCACCAATCCATGCGCACAAAATCCAGCAGACATTCAAACAGCTTCTTCCCTCTTGCCATTAACTCCCTAAACAGTAACCCAAATCTACCTGTATAGTGCCTCTTTGCAATTTTGCACACCTCTGTGAAACAGCATTACCACAATAATCATTATAGCTCCAGCTCTGTAATTACTTGAACCATTGTCACTGATCTATATTCCACAGCACCAGACACTTGAAAGCGCTCAAAGGACATCTGTACAATTGCACACTTAAACTTTTTCTACAAATACTGCTACTGGTAACTTTAAAATGGAGCAATGATTATCTGCACCAATTGCACAACTGTTATAGTATTGTATTCTACCACAGATCACTTAGCTCTGCTTGATACTTTGCACATCATCTCACAGCTCTCATCGGGTGGTACTACCGCACAACGGTACCCTTACAAGACGGAATGTCTTTCCATACTTATTTGTCATGTCCTTGTTTATCGTAGTTGCTTGTTATTGATGATACTAGTGTAGCCTGTACTACCGGAGACAAATTCCATGTGTGTCCTACATACTTGGCCAATAAAGATGATTCTGATTCTACCAGGCAAAGCACAAACACAATTATAACGTCATTATTAAGTGAATATCTTCTCCTGACAGTGACATGGAAGAAGATGACCCAGGGATCAAGTGTTCTGGGTAGGGAATTTTGGCTTGATCCACTCCATTGTGTAATACGGGCTGGGTGACAAGGTCGAGTGGAGTCTCCATCTCCAGTCAATACAGCATCATAGAGGACCTAAAACTCCTTCCCTCATGGGCAGTGAGCAAGGCAAAATTAGTTCTGGGCGTAGAAATATATATAGATTTTTTTTCCTATTGAGTATCTCACTGAAAAGGAAGGAAAAAATTAGCACAAAATAATAGCCGTTTTATGACCAAGGCTGTGTTTAGACTTTGGCAGCTTAATTTACTACATTTAATGCAGTTTGCTGGGAAACCCAGCCGCTGGGGGGCAGTGCCCTCCCCTGGGGGTGCACTGTTCCCCAGTGCCGGTCCCAAGCCCGGAGAAATGGGGAGGGTTGCGTCAGGAATGGCATCCGGCGTAAAACTTTTGCCAAGACGACCATGCGAGTTGGTAGGACGGTTTACAGGGGCGGATGGAAATTACTGACTCGCTGTGGCGACCCCTGAATAGGGACGTGCCGAAAGGAGAAGAAGAAGAATAATGCAGTTTGCTGGGAACTGTTATGTACTGTAAATATGGATTGCAGATTACAATTAAATACTGCATGTCTGCTTTGAGTTCACTGAAGTAAATTGGAATTAAACCATATCCTTGTGTAGACTTGTGCAGCAAGATGAGGGCAACATATAGGATCAAAATTTTCTGCAATGGAACGTTCCTAATATTTACAGTAACTGTCTACAAAGCAAGTTCCTAGAATTCTTCTAAGTGCTTGTAAAATGCTTTGTTTTATTGCAATGAATGTGATTCAGTGCACAGATGAGATTTTGTCTAATGGTTTGTCTGTGGTCGCAGCCACATGGCAAGCCTATCCAACGACAACTGAGGTTGAAGCAGTCTGCCAAATGTCTGGCTCATTTTCTAGTATGCCCGCTTCCCTCCAGCCACTCACAGCCAGAGAACAGCAACATGTCCAAGACTGTCAAATATCAGCATTCTCATGGACTCTCATGTTTTAATCTGCACACATAAGACATGCGACTATTTTGCTTTTGTGCTTTATTGCTTTGAGCAGCAGATGATGGGTTGCTTCTTTAAAGCATTTCTTGTTCAACAAAACTACAGGTTTACATGAATTATTTAATGAAACTAGGTGACTTTGATCTTTTAAGCCTCTCTCATTTGACCAAAAACGCATTTACTCTATAATTTAATTACCCAGGTTTTCGTAGTGCGTCAGGACTACACAACTGTGAAAATGTGCAAACTGCGTGATGAAAATAAATACTGTATGACCAGTGCAATGGATCTTCATATATTTGAGGATTTTATCATTTTAAATTAATATTGTAGAGAATCTACGTTCTTTTCATGGCATTTTTCACATGAGTCATTTTGACATGATCTAATTCAAATTTTGTAAAGTTTTTCGTAGTTTATTGGCTAAAACAAAACATTTTATGGCAAAAAAATGTGAGTACATTCAATGGCAGATGTGTTTCAGTAAGCTCAGGTGTGAGGCGAATTTCCTTTCTGTTTGATTTTAGGACAACTGTAAATTGAGTAGTGATGGGAAATTAAAGCTTCATGAACCAGTTGGGCTGTTTATTGAGCCCTCTAGAGGGCAACACAGGGTTCGAAGCACACTGACTTACCATTTCTTAAACCCTTTATTTTAACCAACAGTGCCATCTAGATGAGTAAAAAAGATACAACGACTGGTTCATGAGGCATCTTGAAGCATTTTGCCCTTACTAATTATCACTATCATGCACAGGGGATCCTCTCGGTGTACAACAGGGTTCTGTTTCTGTTCCCTGAATTTGTAATGTATGTACTGAATGTCGTCGCTGTTACGTTTTGGGTGATGGTAGTTGGAGGACCCCAAAAAGCAGTGGGGCAGAGAGGAGCAGGGTGGACTGACCAAGATGTATTGAACAACAATGAAAACTGAAGTACTCAAACAAAGTCCTTAAATTCACAAGAAACCAAAGTAGCAAAAAAAACCTATGACAGAAAACAAAATGTGACAGCAGCACACAGACACAGACACTCACACTCACACACACTCTCACACACACACACACACACACACACACACACACACACAATGATCCAACAAAGACTGACTGAACCCAGGTAACTAAAATCCAAGCAAGGTGACGAGACAACGAGAAACACCTGGACAAGACACAAAGGGTTGAGGGAGCTGATTGGTTAAAACACAAGGGCCACGGATGACGAGAACAGGTGGAGACAAAAAGGGCATATCAGAAACAAAAACATAATAGTCACACACTAATGCAGTGTGGTAAGGTCATAATAATATTAAATATTGGTATGAAAAAACATTTTGTGGAACTCCCAAATTTAAAAAAAAAAGGGCGTTAACTGAATGTGACTTTGTCCACTGTGTAACTATGCACCAATCATTGATGTTTATTTGCTGGACTTCGGTGAGTGGGAACCGAACCCGCACTGCCTGCACACAAGTCAAGTAAGTGAAGCACTGTACCATGAGTGAAGACTTCGCTGCAAAAAAAGAGCATTTTCAAATAACCTACGAGGTCACTGGATTATTGATTATAATGGTGCTATAACAATGCATACATTCTCTTGGAGTCACCGATGGGAATCTTGGGTTCAGTTTCCCGTCATAAATGATTTGAATGTGACTGGTTGAATAGGATGAGTAGTATAGAAAATGGAATAATACATGGCTGGAATTCGTGTCCCATGAGACAAATGCAGGCGGCCCGCTACCCAACTGGTTAGCACATCAGCCTCACAGTGCAGATGTCGTGGGTTCAATCCTGGCTCCGGCCTTCATATGTGGATTTTTCATGTTCTCCCCGTGCCTGCGTGGGTTTTCTCCGGGAACTCCTGTTTCCTCCCACATTCCAAAAACATGCATGGCAGGCTGATTGAACACTCTAAATTGTCCTTACGTGTGAGTGTGAGTGCGGATGGTTGTTTGTCTCTGTGTGCCCTGCAATTGGCTGGCAACCGATTCAGGGCGTCCCCCGCCTACTGCCCCAAAACAGCTGGGATAGGCTCCAGCACCCCCCGTGACCCTTGTGAGGTTAAAGCGGTTCAGAAAATGGATGGATGGATGGATGAATGAGATAAATGTACCTGGTAATTTTAGTGAGAAAAAGCTATCTCGCATCAAAACACCACATCTACTGTTGGCCTGAGACTTTTGTATAGTACCACTGAAGATCAATGATCATGACATGACTAGATTTGCATACTTTGGGGAAATTTAAAGCAAGAGTCTTAAGGCTTCAGGCACTCCTTGCACCACCCCATCCATCTCCACTTCCATCTCTTCCCTCTTGTAATATGCAGCGGGCCTCTGACTGACTGATATCCCACCTCCTCGCTGCCGGTCTGACTGCAGCACTCTTGAACAATAGCTCTCTCTCCTCCTCCCCAACTCTTCCATTTAAAATGCGGCTCACAGGCGCGTTCGTACCCTGTTTTTTAAGCGTGCACACACACGCGCAGTCTCCCCAAGCCCCCCTCCTCCCTTTTCCCGATCGGATGCCAAGAATGATACGGCGGGGCTGGGCCGCGCAGCTCGAATTCAAGCGGACAATTTGGCACGTGAATCATTTCAAATGTCTTCACCTTTTGGTTAGTGACAGATGAATTCTACTTCATACAGAAGGACAAACGACACATGGGAGCCTATATGGAAGACTTTTCTTGATGAAAAAAAAATACTAAAATTATGATACTGTAGAGGATGTTGTGTGAGCTCATTTTTTCTCTCTCTCTCTCTCTCTCTCTCTCTCTCTCTCTCTCTCTCTCTCTCTCTCTCTCTCTCTCTCTCTGGCTCGCTTTCTCTCTCGCTCCCCCTCCCTCCACCCTCTCAGTCTCTGCATCCTCCTCCGGTGGTGTCGGAGGCTCAGTGAATGCGGCTGAGAGTGGAGCGAGAACGCGCCTGACACGGATACTGTGCAGTTTTACAGGAGGGAAACTAGAAGCTTCCGTCCTGTCACTCCTTTTTTTCGCACTCCGGATCAAGTGGCTGTATGAATCGTAACTTTCTTGCTCTGAGTTGATTTTTGTTCTTAGCTCTTTTTTTCTAATGGTGGAAAGCGCAGAGCTTGCTGCCGATCACCTGCACCGCATCGGACTAGCAGTCGAATAACTGCATTATTCATTTTTACGCACCAGTTTGTGCTGTCTCTCTTGTTGCCTACGACTAATTAAAAAACAAACAAACAAAGATTATACGCGATGTTGCCGTAATTAGAACTCAACCTTTTCGTTTTGTGTGGCTAAAAACGTTTTTTTTTTCTTTCTGCTGCAACTGACAAATTGACAGTGTTCAAGGATGAATACAAATGGGATTCGTGCGGCGAATGGAAAACTAACATATCATCTGTACATGGGAGAACTATACACTAATAAGAATGGGAGCGCGTTGCCTTTTGATTCGTGAAAAAAAACCACATTCCCCGTGCGCAACTTCAGCACTTCGGATCCTGTCAAACATACCACTGTTTATTAAACGGATGATCGGTGGCGGCTGAGCCGGACGCACAGCTTTGACAGTCCTCCTGTTACCCCCTCCAGTTGTCAATATACATAATACGATTCCAAGGATGGCTGACTTGTGGCATCGCATCACGAACCTTGTGGACCTTCCCACGCCTAGGAGTCGCCGGACGAGCCATCAAGATCTCTAGAATCTGCCCTCCGCCGCCCCCTCCCCCTCCCTTGTGTTGCATCTCACAGTCCTTACCGCAATCCATTCGGCTCTTTCCTTTTCATCTTATAACATCGCAAATGTTCTCCCGTTCCCATGGAGGTGGGACAACCTTGGGACTCAAGCAAGCAGTGGGGGTGATTTTTTTTTTTAAGCACGCGCAACCCGTGAGCAAGAGACGCATCGGGTGAAATAGGAGCCCACCCTGCTCGCCCGTCTCCCCAGCACCCTCCCTAACCACCCGGATCCAAGCCAGCGCGCCTGGCTTTCCGTTGATGTGCAGCAGTCTGCATGGAAATGAAGGAGCGGGGAAGCCTTGTTGCTTCCGTGAAATGTGTGTTTCCTCCGCGGCTGGGAGTGCTTCAGCGGCACCTTTCCATCCATGTCCCGCGAATGCCGCCCCGAGTCTCCAAAAGGAGTCACCCACATCAGCTTTAGGTAGGTATTCATTTAGTTTTATGCGTTTTTGCATGATCTGCTATGTTTGGTGCAGCTGAAAAATGTGCATTTCCCCAAACATTTTGAAACTGTTATTAGTCGAGACAGTTTCAACTCTCCTATACGTGCTGTCAGATGATTTCCAAAAGAACCTCAATGTGCTGGCATTAAACCAGACCGTTGAGGAGAAATAAAGAGAAATGTGTGGTTAGTCTTTGATTATGATGAAGAGACGGAACAACATTTGGGTCTCCATTCCATGTCTTTTACAAATAAACAAACAAGCAAACAGTGATATATGTGCAACAGCTGGTGTCTTCTCCATTTCCTGAGCATATGTTGCTTTTTTTTTTAGCCCAAAGCATTTGTGTTGCTCAGCAAACAGGGCGATTTGTGTCACAACCCAAATTATTCTGTTGCAATTTTGTATTAATTAAGGGACTTGGGAACACATGAATAAATATATAGTTTGATTCAAATTCATTTGATATCTTCAGGCGAGAACATTTATTCATTGACGTACCGAGATCCAAATCAATTTTGAACCGGGATTTTAATGATGACCATATAGTTTGATAATTGTGTTAACGGTGTATGATGTGGTGTGTATGCTTGTGCATGCACCTGACTGTTTTTTCTTTCCAGAGGCTACTAAATGATTTTCTGGGGGCGGATTTTTAATCGGCGAGATGATGCTCATTCTCCTGCTGGCAACCTTTTCCTCTTCAATCTCAAGCTCCTCCCTCTCATCCCCCTCCATGTCAGATGGACTCCCAATGGCAGACCCTTCTGCTCCGGACTTGATGTCAGAGACTTGCAGTGCCTGCTCCTGCTTGTCGGTGGAAAATGTGCTGTACGTCAACTGTGAAAAGATCACTGTATATCGACCGACGCAACTCATTCCGCCTGTGTCATCATTGTACCACCTCAACTTCCAAAATAACCTCTTAATTATTCTCTACCCAAACTCGTTCCTCAACTTCACCCATGCTGTATCTCTGCAGCTGGGGAACAATCAGCTGCAGAACATTGAAGGTGGCGCATTCATGGGGATGAGTGCGTTGAAACAGCTGCACCTCAACAACAATGAGTTGAAGGTGCTGCAAGCAGACACGTTTCAAGGAATAGAAAACTTGGAGTACCTTCAAGCAGACTACAACTTGATAAAGTACATCGAAAAGGGAGCGTTCAACAAACTGCACAAGTTGAAAGTGCTGATTCTGAATGACAATCTAATACAGGCACTTCCTGACAACATATTTCGCTTTGCCTCCCTCACACACCTGGATATAAGAGGAAACAGGATCCAGAAGCTTCCGTATTTGGGAGTGCTGGAGCACATCGGCCGGATTGTCGAGCTACAGTTGGATGATAACCCCTGGAATTGTACCTGCGACTTGGCACCTCTCAAGGCATGGCTTGAAAACATGCCTTATAATATTTTTATCGGGGAGGCCATCTGTGAAACGCCGAGCGACTTGTATGGAAGGCTGCTGAAAGAAACTAATAAGCAAGAGCTTTGCCCAATGGGTACGGGAAGTGACTTTGATGTTCGAATGCCACCCGCACTCCCCGATACGGGTCAGACATCCCCACCGACCTCCGTGGCTGCAATGACCACAAAATCGCCGAAAACCACAGACTCGTCCAAGATGTACGGTAATGGGATTGTAGCCGGTTTGCCCCCTTTTGGAAGAAATAGCCAGATCGTTTCCTTTCAGACTCGGAGCCCCCCAGTGTTATGCCCGCAGCCTTGCAGCTGTAAAACCCACCCTTCAGACTTTGGCATTAGCGTCAGTTGTCAGGAAAGAAACATCAAGTTTCTGGCAGATCTTATTCCGAAACCGCCAAATGCCAAGAAACTTCACTTGAGCGGCAATTACATTCGTGACATCAGCCCGAATGATTTCCACGAATTTGAAGGTCTCGATTTACTTCATCTCGGCAGCAACCAAATTGTCAGCGTCCAGAAAGGTGTGTTTGCTAACCTCACTAATCTAAGAAGACTGTATCTGAATGGAAACCAGCTCGAGCAGTTACACCCCGAGATGTTTTTGGGCCTCACAAACCTACAGTACCTATATTTGGAATACAACGCCATTAAAGAAGTCCTAGCGGGCACATTTGACTCCATGCCAAACTTGCAGCTCCTCTATCTTAATAATAATGTGCTACGGAGTCTTCCTGCCTATGTGTTTGCAGGCGTCTCTTTAGCCAAACTTAATTTGAAAAACAACCACTTCATGACCCTGCCGGTCAGCGGCGTCCTGGACCAGCTGCGCTCTTTGACCCAAATAGACCTCGAGGGCAACCCGTGGGAGTGTTCCTGCGATTTGGTCGCTCTCAAACTATGGCTAGACAAGCTCGGGGACGGAGTGGCCGCGAAAGAGGTGAGGTGCGCCTCCCCTGTGCAATTCTCCAACATTGAACTGCGCCTGCTGAAAAACGAGATCTTGTGCCCAAAACTGATTGCGCGGCCACCGTTTATTTTTACCAGCGCCACCCCGGTGTTGACTTCACTTTCGCCCGCAGGAGTTGGCAAAGCCCAGCCCGGAGGACCCGTGCCCCTCTCAATCATGATCCTGAGTATCCTTGTCGTGCTCATCCTTACGGTGTTCGTGGCCTTCTGCCTTCTAGTCTTTGTCCTCAGACGGAATAGAAAACCAGCCGGTCGGCAGGAACTGGGGAATCAGGAGTGCGGCTCCATGTCACTGCAGCTGCACCGGCACGGCCACAAGTCAGGCAAAAAAGGTTCCGTTCCAGGAGACGAATTAGGAGGCGAAACGTTTATCCCCCAGACCATCGAACACATCGGCAAGAGCCACACTTGTGGCATTGGACGTTCATCGGACATGGACGCGGGGTTTAAGTTCGCTGACTCGCAAAGGCAGAAAATTATCCTTCGCAGTTGCGGCGATAAGGATAAGGACGCACTTTCCACCTTGGAGCGCAACAAGCGCCTCAGCACAATCGACGAACTTGAGGAATTCCTACCAAATCGAGAGCCCAGCATGTTTATCCAAAACTTCCTGGACAGCAAGAGAGATTTCAGCAGCATAGGAATGGGCGGCTACGAAATCCGCTACCCGGAGAAAACTCTCGATCGAAAGATGAAGAAAGCGTCGCTGATAGGTGGGAACCACAGTAAGATTGTGGTGGAGCAAAGAAAAAGTGAGTATTACGAGCTGAAAGCCAAGCTCCAAGGAACACCTGATTACCTTCAGGTGCTTGAGGAGCAGACTGCACTGACTAAAATGTAGAAATCGTTGCGTGTGATTCAGTGCAGTGATGGCAAACAAACGCGGCAGCGTCAGACACACGCAGAGGTCGAAATACGCTCAAACAGATCAGCTTTTGTTTTGGTTTTTTTCCCCCTCCAGTTGCACGCATTATGTAACCCCCAAACCTTTTCTTTTCTATCTTCCCTTTTCTCTTTGCAGCCAGCTGTGCGCATACACTCCCTCGCACACACACACATTCAGCAAAAAAGTGCCTTCTGGAAAATCCTAATGACCAGTGCTTAGATGGACAAAATGGCTCCATACTACAAAGCTTTTACTTGGATCAACGAGGATACACGTTAAAGTGAAAGACGTTTGGATCATCCGTGCCACTCGTATGAATCGTAATCTCGACACCACAAGACAGCCTACAAACAACCAGACAGTCTTAGTATTTTTGCTGCTATGGAAATGGCGCCTTTTTTTTTCCTCCATTGTATATTGCTGGTATTATTTTATTTTCGTATTCATTTTTTTTTTTTTTTATCCCCCCAACAAATCAAATGGTTGTTGGAACTGCTTGAAAATATACCTCGCCGGCTCCCTCCCTCATTTGATAACAGAAAGGTGGAAACAGAAAAAAAAAAAAAAAAAAAAAAAAAAAAAGCGAATTGTTTTAAAAAAAAAAAAAAAAAAAATCCAGCCATATCGGCAGCCATACTGCAGAAAGATGCTTTGTTTCTTGTCGCTTGTCCCTCCACAGAGATGGCACCTTCAACAGGGACAAATTACTGCAAGGCAGCAAGGGGTTGTTGGTTCGCAGCCTTGACCGGGTCGGGGAGTCTTATTTTGAAGGTTTTCCGATCCGGTCAGCTGTTTCTTTTAGACATCCGACAAGGAAGCAGTGACAGCTCAGACTAAGGCTGAAGTGACAGCTAAAACTGTCAGCTCGGTAAGAGTTTTTTTTCTCCACTAAAATACGACCATTGTCTGAAAAAGAAACCTTAAACTAATTTCAACTAATAAGACAAGATGAATGTGATAGTGCTACCCACCACCATGTTTTTCTCCCATTTAAAAACCTCAGCTACTCTGTCAGCGCCTCCAGCAGAAGAGTCTGGTGGACCTAAGTGGACCTTAAGCCCGTACGAGTCAAATGAGATCCAAATCCTACTTCACGGTTTTTCAACTTTCGCAGGGGGTTCTGGTCCCATTCACTGCGAAAAACAAGGGATTACTGTATTAGATAAGTGAATGTCCTGTTACTCGTGACAAGCTTGATAGCAGCATTATTTTAATTTGTTGCACTCCACATACAAACTGTGTAACTATGATAAGATAAGAAAGATAAGATAAGAAAACCTTTATTAGTCTCGCAATGGAGAAATTCCCAATACACAGCAGCAAAGTTATGAAAGGAAGAAGTAGATGATGACATTGTCAAAGAATAAACACATGTAGGGGCCCTCCAAAAGCAAAAATGGAAATATCAAAGATTCCGCAGCAAGACAGAAGTGAAGAAACGCGACAAAATGACGCAAGGGAAGAGGTTGGAGCAGAAGAAAGAGTGCAGTGTTTGCCCAGTAGCACACAGCAGCATTAGAGGAGTGATGCTGAGGGGGACCCCTGATTTATGAACACAGGCACACAACAAGAATGTGTGTGGATGCCGGGCAGCAAGAATTGACATGCAGGACAGCAACGGTACAAAAAAGGCCGACCACACTGCAGCTGCGGCACTCAACACTTAGTACACTATGAATGAACGAGTGCTGAAGAGAGAAAACAGTACCCGAGGATAGCTCGAGAAGTTCAGCGTAAGTTGTCAAATCATTAAACTGTGTTGCTTGTCAGAATGATGGCTTGAAAGAGATAGGGTAAGCACTGTAGCCAAGTGTATCGTTTAAATGTATACTTCCCGACGTTACCACACTAAGTTATGGTAGGCCTTTGGACAGACGCGTCATTAGAGCAGGAATCAAATGTTCTCTGTGGTTCTTCCAGAGTATCTCCCACCTGTCCAGTGTCACCTATGTTTTGCACAGTGCTGCATTGCTCCTCTCGAAAATAAACATCCATCCATTGTCCTGTCACCCTGTTTTTTTCAAAGTCAAAACTGTCTCTGATCCAATGCTCTTTCAACATTTTGGGTTGCCGACCCCTGTTCTATACCGATGTCATGTCTGTGTGTTTTACATACTTGGCCAATAGAGATGATTCTGATTATTTTGTTTCTGTCAGTAATTGTGTGTAAATTATGTTGTAGTTTTTCTTTATTTTCTTGATGCAAATTATTGTTTTTTTTTGGAATATGTGTTTTGCTGTAGTTTTCAGGATGGATTCATTGTCAAGAAGCAATAAATTCAGCACTCAAGAGAAAAGCACTTGTGCCTATAGCTATTGAGTGCAACTAAAAGTGCTATACGTACACATATATACACAAATATATACACTCACGCACATATACATATCGAGAGAGAGAGAGAGAGAGAGAGAGAGAGAGAGAGAGAGAGAGAGAGAGAGAGAGAGAGAGAGTATTTTATGGTTAGCTTTTTTCAAGTCAGGCAAAAAAGGTTCCGTTCCAGGAGACGAATTAGGAGGCGAAACGTTTATCCCCCAGACCATCGAACACATCGGCAAGAGCCACACTTGTGGCATTGGACGTTCATCGGACATGGACGCGGGGTTTAAGTTCGCTGACTCGCAAAGGCAGAAAATTATCCTTCGCAGTTGCGGCGATAAGGATAAGGACGCACTTTCCACCTTGGAGCGCAACAAGCGCCTCAGCACAATCGACGAACTTGAGGAATTCCTACCAAATCGAGAGCCCAGCATGTTTATCCAAAACTTCCTGGACAGCAAGAGAGATTTCAGCAGCATAGGAATGGGCGGCTACGAAATCCGCTACCCGGAGAAAACTCTCGATCGAAAGATGAAGAAAGCGTCGCTGATAGGTGGGAACCACAGTAAGATTGTGGTGGAGCAAAGAAAAAGTGAGTATTACGAGCTGAAAGCCAAGCTCCAAGGAACACCTGATTACCTTCAGGTGCTTGAGGAGCAGACTGCACTGACTAAAATGTAGAAATCGTTGCGTGTGATTCAGTGCAGTGATGGCAAACAAACGCGGCAGCGTCAGACACACGCAGAGGTCGAAATACGCTCAAACAGATCAGCTTTTGTTTTGGTTTTTTTCCCCCTCCAGTTGCACGCATTATGTAACCCCCAAACCTTTTCTTTTCTATCTTCCCTTTTCTCTTTGCAGCCAGCTGTGCGCATACACTCCCTCGCACACACACACATTCAGCAAAAAAGTGCCTTCTGGAAAATCCTAATGACCAGTGCTTAGATGGACAAAATGGCTCCATACTACAAAGCTTTTACTTGGATCAACGAGGATACACGTTAAAGTGAAAGACGTTTGGATCATCCGTGCCACTCGTATGAATCGTAATCTCGACACCACAAGACAGCCTACAAACAACCAGACAGTCTTAGTATTTTTGCTGCTATGGAAATGGCGCCTTTTTTTTTCCTCCATTGTATATTGCTGGTATTATTTTATTTTCGTATTCATTTTTTTTTTTTTTACCTCCCCAACAAGTCAAATGGTTGTTGGAACTGCTTGAAAATATACCTCGCCGGCTCCCTCCCTCATTTGATAACAGAAAGGTGGAAACAGAAAAAAAAAAAAAAAAAATGAGGGCACCTCAGTCGTGTCCTTCTTGGCTGCGAAATGTACAGGTATCTGTTATTACTACTTTCTGGGATGAGTTACAAAGAACGACTCAGTGGATTCTACCTTGCTTTTTTTTTCACGTTGTAAGGATATTGGTTTGTTCTAGGGGAAACTCTCTGGGGCTGCTTGCAGACTATATGCCTTTTTTTTTCAGGATGACACACTCGTGGCAGAATACCCACTCTATGCTGAAAGGCTCAATGGCTCCAGTTTTGTGTTCATTGGAAGGCAACAATGCAAAACTCTTTCGACAGTGAGTTCATGACTTGTTTTCTTGGTGTAAAGAGCCATGTTAATATATAGTGTATTCCGAATGGAGTTGTGTTTCCTCTTCAAGTTACTATTTCAAAATGTCCGATTTTGGGTGGAAGCAAATCGGCAATGATACTGTCAAGAGATGTTTCTTCACATGAAAACCCAAGGATAAAAGAGTACAAAGCTGCTTGCCATGTAAGCGTAACTTGGAATTTATTTTGTAAGTCTTACATTATTTGTATCAGTGGGACTGGTTTGTAAAATACACTGACAAATATTTGCACACACACGCACACGCACACACACACACACACGCACACGCACACACACACACACGCACACGCACACACACACACACGCACACGCACACACACACACACGCACACGCACACACACACACACGCACACGCACACACACACACACGCACACGCACACACACACACACGCACACGCACACACACACACACGCACACGCACACACACACACACGCACACGCACACACACACACACGCACACGCACACACACACACACGCACACGCACACACACACACACGCACACGCACACACACACACACGCACACGCACACACACACACACGCACGCACACACACATGCTGTATGGCGGAACATCATCCCCTCGAGACTGCACCCCAGAGACGTCAAAGGGATCATCAATATGACTCAGTCAGTGATAACTCACCTCTTGTCAGTTCTCACTTCATAGTAAAAGAATTTCAAAACATAGTTAGTTTATTTTTCTATGCAGGGTTATTTAAAGAGATGATGGTATTATGAGAAAAAAAAAGGATAGGATGCCCTGAGAGGAACTAACTTTCATCGGAGCTAATACACGTCACGGGTAGACGTGACGAATGATTTGTTTCAATGGTTCTTGCTGTTTTCTGTTTGCTTAACAAGTTAACATGATGAACAATGGTGAAATGTGATCTGTGTTGTTTCGCACGACAAACCCGGCGGAGTCTGCGAAGGCTCACTCGGGTTCCTTATTCTTACATCTCCCACGGCATCTTGTAAAAGGTTTCTTATGAACTTATGCAACCAAAATAAATGTGCATTCAACTTGATAAGGTTCCGGGTTGTTGATGTGCGAGCGGTGAAACTGTGGGCTCTTCAAGATAAGGACAGAATCATATCATAGACGATGTGCAATATTAGGGAATACTCAAATAGGAAATGGCTTCAAATCCTGCCTGTTTTATTTAAGTTTGAGGTAGTCGTGTTGCAAGAGAAGATGCGATTCGAAACGGATTTGCTTCACTCCGCACGGTTTTTAAAGAAACGGATTGTCAAGTTCAAGGGATGACATTCAACCTGTTTTGTTGCTATTGCAAACAAATAGAATGTAACTTGGAAAGTATAAGAAATACAATTTTCTATCAGTCATAAATCTCCTGTATAATGGTTAATTTTCTCTTGTATTATCCTGTTAATATGAAAGTATTAAAAGGAGCATTCATTTGCATTGTGTCCCCACAATTGATTTCATGTTGCACCACTCATTCGGGTGAAGCAGTCAGGTTGGCTCGCACGCAGCGTTCAGGGTGAATGAAATGAAAAGTTGAATTGTCTGACAGCTCGTGTCGGACAGACGACATCTGAAAGTGCCAGACGGAATGTTTGCACTTGTTGA